AAATGTGGCATTTATACACCATGGAGTATTACACAGCACTAAAAAATGACAAAATCATGGAATTTGCAGGGAAATGGATGGCACTAGAACAGATTATGCTTAGTGAAGCTAGCCAATCCCTAAAAAACAAATACCAAATGTCTTCTTCGATATAATGAGAACAACTAAGAACAGAGCAGGGAGGAAGAGCAGGAAGAAAAGATTAACATTAAACAGAGACATGAGGTGGGAGAGAAAGGGAGAGAAAAGGGAAATTGCATGGAAATGGAGGGAGACCCTCATTGTTATACAAAATTACATATAAGAGGTTTTGAGGGGAATGAGATAATAAACAAGGAGGGAAATGAATTACAGTAGATGGGGTAGAGAGAGAAGATGGGAGAGGAAGGGATGGGGGATAGTAGAGGATAGGAAAGGTAACAGAATACAACAGTCACTAATATGGCATTATGTAAAAATGTGGATGTGTATCCGATGTGATTTTGCAATCTGTATTTGGGGTAAAAATGGGAGTTCATAACCCACTTGAATCTAATGTATGAAATATGATATGTCAAGAGCTTTGTAATGTTTTGAACAACCAATAAAAAAAGTGAAAAAAAATAAAATTAAAAACAAAAATTTAAAACTCTCTTCCACCTGAAAATTTTAAAAATAATTATATTTGAGTGATTTTTAATATTTTGTAATTACAAATGTTGCTATAATGAATATTCTTATGTGTAATTATTTTCTAATATTGGAGATATATTTTTAACTTCTTAGAAGTGGGAAAGTTCTTGGTCAAATGGTAAAAACTGGTTTTGTTAGTTATTGTAAAATTCCATTAACATATGGGAATACCTGTTTTCTCATACCAAACGACTTGTTGTCGAGCTTTTGAATTTTTGCTAATCTGATGGGTAAGTGTTGTTTTACTTATTAAGTAATTAAATATCTTTTCATATGTTTTGGGGCTAATTTTATATTTCTTGTGAATTTCTTTAAATTATTAAATAACTCTGGAGGAAAAAAAGCAAACACAAATATGAATTACATAATTTAAATTACAGAATTTTGGGGAAAATATAGTGAAAACATGATATTCAGACTGAGGACGTATATAGTTTTAAACATCTAAATCAATTAAACTAAAAAAATAAGAATAAATTCAATTCTCAATTCAAAAATCTGACAAAGAAATAAAATTTCATGAAAAATGTATTATACTTTTAAGCCATCTGCTCAGGTGACAGTAAGGAGCATCAGTTGGTGGGCACTGGTTGATTCTATACCTTATCTGCCATGAATACTGCCGCAGTAACCACAAGACTGCAGAGGTCTCTTTAATGTTCCAGTTTAATTTAATTTATATATATATATTCCTAGTAGAGAGAATGCTGAACCATCAAGGAGTTGTTTTTTTAGAGTATCTTCAATCACAATTCTCCTGAGAAGACTTGTTCAGCCTGCTTATTCAAAAGTCTACCTCTTTCCTTTCCTCATCTAATAAGGTATAGACAGAAAGGAAGTTTTTCATTATAAAAAAATACTTTTGGGATATCCTGCAATGTGGGCAGAGGTTGGAAAGGTAAACATGCCCGAATGGTACCTCTCTTTATTGTTATTAACAAGGTAGGAGTAATAACCTATGTTGGAAATTTTTTGGGAGGATCAACCACAGCAACGTATGAGAAAAGACCTAGCACTAGAAGATAAGGCTCCTTGCTTTAGAGAGATATGGTCCAAAAACCAAACTACAGGGTGAGAAATTATTCATGCTTTATTTATTATGAACACAAAACATTAACCTTTAGCTTAATAACTAATTAAGTTATTACAGATTCTATTCCATTCATTAACGTTAGTGTCTTTTTCCAGTGGATTCCAAACCATTTTCAACTGCACAATATCAAATTCACTTTAAAAGCATGAGATTTGCTAATACCTTAAGGCTATTCTAATGCATGCCCCCATACACTAAAATGATTTCAAAGGTTCAACTTGTTTAGAGAAATGGTTCCACCGTTTGGCTGGCTGCAGCAGAATAGCCGGAGGGTGACAAATAACTTCTGTACATTGATTCAGCAAGAGTAGGAGCCGTTTATTGTAGGACAACAGAGCTATTTATACATTTTGCACAGCTTATCTTAATTAGCATAAAGTAGATACATCAGTCAACCAATAAGGAATCTCCACACTTAACGGCTTGCTTTTGTTATTTCTCAAACAACTCCCTCTGGCATTTTGCCAGGCACCATCCAGACTTGTTTAAGAACTCTAACATTCCCCTGGCAAAATACCAGGTGTTATTTTGACTTGTTTTGACTTACAGACCTTAACAAAATGGTAGCCTTCTTTAGTCAAGGTGACTAATTTGGATTCAATAGCTCTCACTTCGATGTATAAATTCTGTTAACCTATAGTCCTTATCGAATGATACATTAATATTAATCATAGTTTAATAGATATCTTATTAATATATTAAACATCATATAATATTAAACATATTATATAACATTTGTCCTGAATTATTTCATACTACAAACATTTACTGATTATTATGGGCTTAAGCACTGTGTTCCCAAGAGGAAATAATCATTATTATTATTATTATTTTACCAATCTTAGTTTAGTTATTATAAGAAAAGAGGTGGAGCATATGATTAAAGATGATGCAAGAAATGAATAATCATCTAACTGGTGGCACTACAAAAATGATGTGACCAACATTCTCAGAGGAGTAAGGCAATATGCTTTCCATGAGCTCAGATTTTAAGGAATTTCAGTATGCAGCCTGAAGGGGAGCCTAATTTTCCTAGATGTCACCATATCACAGATTACATGCTCGCAATATAATTACACATTCTCACAGAATTTTCCCCTTTCTGATTTGGAATTTAAATATACATGCAAAAGAAGTAGGAATTTCTAGTGAAGGCTAGAAGTATTTATGTTATCCTATTATATCCATCAAAAAATATTGCACCGAGTCATGTTTAGATACCCTCATGTAGCAGACAACAAGGCTATGAATAGTGTCTTAGTCAGTCTGGGCTGCTTTAACAAAGTACCATATCCTGGGTGGCTTATGAATTACAAAAATGTATTGACCACAATTGTGCATACTAGA